AATGCTTCGCTTCACCTCCAGCCCACTCACTGATTGGCTGGACTCCAGCCAATCAGTGAGTGGCAGGCTGGGCTTAGTGCGGACGGACGGAGGAGTGACCGAGCGAGCTGCGATGCGCCGGCAAAAGGGCGCTTTGCAGAGACTGGGGCCAGGACCGGTACCGGCGTTCCCGGAAGTTAATTACTTCCGGGTTCACCGACCAACCGGTCTACCCGAACTGGGGAGAACCGGGAGGAGCCACCCCTGGTTCCACTGGTTCTCGTATGATTAGAGGTCAAAATAAAATCATTTATTATTAATAAAATAATAAATGAAATATGAAATATGCTTATCGATTTACAAAGATCTCTATTTACTACATGTGGAATCTAAAAGTTTCCAAGATTTCAGAGATTTACACATTTATTCTCAAATAGGCCCAAAGATGGAAATAACTTTCCCCCACTTTCTTAAAATATACATTAATCTCATTTAACATTAAATTTACCCCAAAGATTTAAATAAATTTTTCCCCCATCAAGTTATATCTACTGATACTGATTTTTTACATTTGCTTAGATTGAATTCAGTATACTGTGATATATTCAAAATATAAAATATAAAATTTTATTCTTTACAAACAATAAATCCTAATCACTTAAAATAATCTATAGCCAAATATGTTCCAAAAGCAACAAATTAAATTTGTTCTACTCTCCTCAGAGGATAAACAATTTAATAAGACTGTGTGATGACAATGTATAATTACCAAGGATAGCCAGCATATCATTAACATCTGTGAAGAACTGATATTCAGTGTTGGTTGCTACCATACCTTAAATATATAGCAATTATCTAATGGAAGAAACAATGGTTCTTCTAATAAACTGTATACCAAGGAAAATTCATTCTTTTCAGATGTCACAATAAAATTTGATAGGTTGAGAGTATTTGTAATACTTTGAAAATAAAGATACCAAATTGTAACTTAATCAATAGAAGATTGTACACATTCAAATATGGCAGTAACACAAAATATTTCATATTCTTTCAAATCTGATCAAGAGTACAGAAGAGGAAGAACATTCGAAGGAGAATTAATAGCATTTTCATGTTCTGTGTTAACATTCTAAATTTAGTCTTATTTGCTATTATTCAAACAAACATTTTGGTTATGTTCCCAGTGAATACTTTCCTTTTTCTAAAAAAATATGGTTTTTTTTTAAAGGAAAAGCCATTTTAACACATGGGTGTCATCAAGAGAGCAAAGAAAAAAATGGCATAGAATTTAAAAGTCTAGTTGCAAGTAAAGCTTTAAAATTACCACTGGTTTTGAAAAATGATTACACACAGCAATTCATCTTTAGGACAATTTTTAGTTTACATAGATTCACTCTTTCTGCATTCATTGATGTCAAAAACATCTTTCCTACTATATTGTATGTAACTATCATCAGAGCAAATCAAAAGATACAAAACTGCATTATTCTGTTTCAACATACTAGTCTACTTGTCTTAACTAACGGGCTGTGATAGATTTCTGTTGTCTGAGCAATATTGCTAGTCCTCAACTTATCATCGTTTGTTTAATAATGCTTTAAAGTTATTACAGGCTCAGCATTTAATAATGCTGTAAAGTTATTACAGGCTTTTAAGACCCATCTTCACACTTGGACCACCTTTGCAATCGTGTGATTGCAATTCAGGTGAGGTGCTTGGCAACTGGCTCATATTTACAACTGTTTGCTGCAACCTGCAGTCATGTTATTGTGTTTTGCGAACTTCCCAAGCTGGAATCTGACAAGCAGTGTCAATTGAGGAAGATGGATTAACAACCATGAGATTTGCTTCACTAGAGTAAAAATTGTCATAAAATTGGGTTAAGTCACCTGGTGACTTGCTTAGTGACTGCAGCATAGAGTGACCGAAAGGCCAGTCCTATTTTTGGTCATAAATTGAGGACTACCTTATTCGTAATCTTCTAAAATTAAAATGCCAATGATTAAATCTGCATGAAGTGTTTTATAAACATAATTATAAATATATATAATTATAAATATAAACATTGAAACCTGAAATATAATTTAACATTTTTGTTGCTCTATTGTGTATGTCAGTTTCTAGATGTACAATCATGTACAAGAAACATTTTGAATCAATAAATAATGCCAGTATATACTGTCAGATCATGTCTTTCTTTAAGCTGCAACCTTCTAACCATACATTTGGACATGTTTGAAATATGTATACACCTGAACAGAATGTGTATCAAATGCATAATCAGGGGTGGTTTCACTTACTTTCCCTACTGATTCGCAAATGTGCGTGTGCGCTCACTATGCTCGCATGCATGTGCCAGGCCTTCCACACATGTGCTTTGCTCAAAAAAGTCCCTAAATTGGATGAAATAGAGCCAGGGTGGAGGGCCGGGCGGGGAGAACCGGTCCGATCCGGTAGAATACCACCTCTATGCATAATGATGTTGTTTGTAAAATTCTACTAGAAAATATAAAAATCTTCCTCCCTAAATGTGGTAATCCAGATAATAAGGAAGGAAGGAAGGAAGGAAGGAAGGAAGGAAGGAAGGAAGGAAGGAAGGAAGGAAGGAAGGAAGTTCTAGTAGTAGATTCTTAATCTCTCTGGAGAGAGCCCAGATTATTTCCATTTAAGGTCATGTAAGCAGCAGCTGCATATTTTTATCCCTTGAAGCAAATTTAAAAAACAAAACACCAAGCATGCTGCATTTAAGTGTGCTAATATTCCAAATCATTCAGCATTTTTCTAACATTTCTCAGGAATTTTCTGTATCTGGTTTAATTTCAAAATGTATTTCTAACTCTTTTCTCTTTCTCTACAAATATCCTTCACACCCAAACACAAGGTTCCCTAAAATTTGCAAATACTAAATTCAAGGAAGAATGAGTCAGATTTATTTTACTTTATTTAAAAAAATGTCTGTTTGGAGAAAGTATAACACTATATATGATTGAAGAGACTCATTTTACAGATTACTACAAAAATTCCAAATATGTGAGGAACAAAACACCATGTTTTACAAGGTCTATTGTAAACAGAAATAGAAATTTGTACATGGATGGGATTAAAATGTCATATAAAACCCAATAATTGATGAAATGGGATTAGTCTAAATAGTATTTTAGACATACGAAAATATACATGTCATGCATGTGTAGTTTGCATATCAGGGATTCTAAGCAAGGGGACCCCGAGAGCATAGAAGAATGATTTGCTTTATTGTTATAGGCAGGAACAGAGAAAGGAAACTCAGATTTTGGAGTAGGGTGACTGAATCAAGGCCATGAGATTTAAATCCTGACATGGTACCACACCCTTCATAGTTCACAACTACCAGTTTGCTTTTCAAACATGACACCTGAAAAAAGAAAAGAAAAGAAAACTGGTATTCTTGAGAGATCAGAAGAGATAAAAGGACAGTTGGGATGTTAAAAGTTTTGAAAAGAGAGATATAAATATACAGTATTGTTTCCTATTGGAATTAAAAGTATTCAGGGATTTCTGGTCAGAGGAAAATTAACCAATAATGACATGCACAGTAAATTACATTAGGTTTAACTCAATATTTCTAATGTACTGATGCCAAGAGGTAAGAATGTGAAATGTGCAGCATAACAGCATATATCCAACTCATTTGTAACAGAAGCCAACATACCCAATGCACCTACACTGCACCGCCCCCCCCCAACTGAGACCCTCCAGATGTGTTGGGAATGTAACTTCCAAAATTCTTAAGCAGCATCTAATTTATGGGGATATTCATTTAACCCCACACCATTTTTACTTACTTGAATAAAAATAAAATAAAATGTATGCATAAAGAATACTAGCCATGTATATTTTAAGTTAATAAATATATACTAGATGAAACACAGGACACCTTTTCCAATAGCTTGGGTAACATTAGTGAAATATCAATGCCATGTATGTTAAAAAAATAATATCTAATCTATCTTAAGAAGATTCTTTTTGAAAGGGCAAATACCACTCTCTTAAAAGTCTGTGTACTTTCAACAATGACAAGGAACAATAACTGTTACTTAAAAGACTGCCACTTATAGCACCCTGAAATGCTTATCTCAGCTAATAGAAAGGCCAAAATCGCCTGTCACCTAAAGCTATATATCTTATATTGTTGCCAATGTTGCAAATTCACCTGGCAATAGGATTTCTTGAACTGCTTAAGTAAGAAGTATACATAGTAACAAGACTGCATGTTCATTCAATGTCCAAATTATCTGAACTATAAATCCAAATGCTAATTTAAGAACACAATACCAGACTGCCATGTCCTCCCCTCACCAATGAACAACAAATGTCCTTTCAGTAGACTTGAGGGTGTCCTGATTATAAAGCATTACTGAAATATTTAAAATAATTTTAAAATGAACACGATAAACTCTTCTTCAACACAATGTTTTAAGAACAGCAGAAAGTTTCATTTGAAGTATCTGTGGTGTACAGATTTGTTAACTGAAAAATGATCTGAATATTAGCTTGGGTTGAGCTATCACATTTGGCTTGCAAAAATCTGGATGACCACTAAAAGTTGGGAGTTTGGGGTATATATTTGATATTATCTAGAGGTCATCCATATTTCTAATGTCTAAGTATGTTTCCCCTAAGTATATATAAATTGTACATCTAATTTCATGGTTTTTTTTTACACCTAGTAGATTTATGTTTGTATATACCGAAAGGTAAGTATTATTATTCAAGCTGAATGGAAGGAAGCGCTATCTAAATATTATTAACAGAACTATCATTTGTTTGTTTGGATTTCTTCAGTTGTGGACATGTTCTATCTCTACTTTTTCCCTGTGAAAGCAAACACTAAACATCCTTGCCCTAAACAAGGCTAGGTCTGCAATCTCTCTGTTCTTGCAATCTGTTGTGTAACCAATCACTGGAGTTAAATTCCTGAATGACATCATGAGCCCAGCCTATGAAACTTTTGTTATTTTTTTCCTTCAGTGAACTTCAGTTGCTCCCATAAATCTGATGACAGAGAACGTCTTTTAGTTTCCCACAGCACATCTTCATATAATTCAGTAATCATCAGTCATTAAGGTAAGGGATTCTACTTTTATTATAATAGAACTTTTGATTTTCCTATTAACGATCCTGATTCCAGTAACAAAAAAGTCTATACCTTTGTTGAACATTATAATTTGATATAGAACTCAAGTGTAAGATACCTTCTGTGTTTATTTTTGTTGTATAAAAGAAGCAAACATATCAAGCATTCTGTATGCATGTTAGAGCCAAAGAGAGGGAGAGAGGAGTGTCAGAAAGAAAAAAAGAGAAAAGAAGTGGGGAAGGAACAAAGAAATCTAGTAAATGACGTTAAATCTAATATTTCAGCTCTTTCTACAAAAAAAATAATATCTAGACTATAGCATTGGAATGCAGTACTGCAGGCTACTTCTGCTGGCTGCCTGCAGTTTGGCAGTTCGAGTCTCACTGGGTCAAGGTTGACCCAACCTTCCATCTTTCCGAGGTCAGTAAAAAAATGAGGACCCAAATTGTTGGGGGGCAATATGCTGACTCTGTAAACCGTTTAGAGAGGGCTGTAAAGCAGTGTTTTTCAACCACTGTGCCGTGGCACACTAGTGTGCCGTGACATAGTGTAAGGTGTGCCGTGGGAAAAACACTTTATATATAGTCAATATAGGCACAGAGTTAATTTTTTTAAATATTTTCTAATGGTGGTGTGCCTCGGGATTTTTTTCATGAAAAAAGTGTGCCTTTGCACAAAAAAGGTTGAAAAACACTGCTGTAAAGTACTGTGACGCAGTCTAACTGCTATTGCTATTTAGCATTCCTCTCCTCTTTAGTTTAACTTTTGTTAGATATATAAACAGTTTCATGATTGTTTAAAACAATCATTTGTAGTATCCATATATTAGATCTGGTATCAACAAATGTATTTTGAATATATTTATATTTACTGCTGCCAAGCAAATGAACCATATATTAGGTTAACAGTAACAGAGTTAGAAGGGACCTTGAAGGTCATCTAGCCCAAACCCCTGTTCACGCAGGAGATTCGAACTGCCGACCTTTCTGATCGATAAGCTCAGCATCTTAACCACTGAGCCACCTATGTTTAAGGAGATATTGGATCCCAAAAGCAAATCAGAGAAGTCCCAAAAGACTAATATAGGGAAGAACTTAATGTTCAGCAAAAGTCCCTTTTTGGACAAACTGGCTTTAATACTATTGTTTTTGGAATAGAATGATGAATCTGATGTTAAAGAAATAAACGGACAAAGAATTGTTGGCAAGCAGATCTAGTAGTCCTTTTCTGAATTCTAGTCAACAGTTCTGATTCTACAATTCCTGACTAAACTATTTAAACCTGTTACAGATATCTTGAATTTAGAATCTAATATTGTGCAGGGTAGTTATCAGATTCCAAATGACTGATATTAAATGATTTTAAATAACAAATAACAAATAAATTCTAAAAATTCTAAATTTATCATCTATTAAATCATTTATCATCTATTAAATCTCAAACTAACAAGGCTATATGATAACAGGAACAAAAATGTGAAAAAATAAAGCCTCTTGAAACTAGCAAAACCAAAATGCATTTTAGTAGGAAACACTCTTAAAATATTCAGATTTAATATATAAAACTTGCTAGAATGCTTACTTGGGATAATATTCCAATATATTCTGTAAGGTTTACTCTTGTGTAAATAGAATAGAATGAAACATTAATGTTAGCAAAATTTAGAAGCTGATTTACAGAATAATATATTCTTAGAGAAAAGTTGCATTTTCACCAAATACAAATTCAGTTTCAGCAACCAAATAGACTGGCAAATTTACAAGTTTTGAACAATCAACATTTTTGGATCTTAGGATGTAACATGCCTAACCCTCCTTTTAAAACAAAACAAACCTGGTGAGGGTAATTCCATTATTTCTTTTGAGAAAACATCTACCAATCTGATTCTTGGATTGCAAAGGAAGCAAAATGTCACTGAAAAGTTATCCACTTTTCAATAATTTTTAATTTCCTCTTAATATTCACCATTAATATTTCTTTTCACTTACTGCTTCTTTTCAACTTTCTTGATCCACTTACTTACTAAGTTTAGTCTTCATTCCCATAGTTTTCTGGGCATTTCCTATTATTTATCTCTTAACAAATTATTCTTTATTTTGTCAAACTGTTAATGTCTACTTTTAATTAACAAAATAATGCAGTATTTTCTAAAATATATTTTACTTCAGATCCATCATTGACTACATAATTTAGATTCCCAATTAATGCAATAGAGATCATGAAAAAAAACCTCTGGGTTTCACTTGTTTGGAAATTAATAACTGACACCTGCCAAAATTTCAAGCAGCAAGAGACTCATGATCTCAAATGGGAAAACAATCTCACTATTCAGTTGTTTGTAAAAGAGGTTTTGATTCTAAAACTACAACAGTCCAGATAGTTTCTAAAACAAGCAGAGAAGACAGATAGATGGACATACATTTTAACAAAACATAACATCTAAACAACACTGAAACCGTAACATTAAAACACTACATTTAAATCAGGAAGAGTAAAAATAGAAGAAATTAAAAACCATAATTTGTGTCCCGAAAACCAATAAAATGCTTAATAAGTTTTCAGAACCTTCCAGAAATATACCCAGTCAGTCTTTCACTACATAATACATAAAATTTTCAGAATCTTCCAGAAACATACCCAGCCAGTCTTTCACTACACAATACATAAAACCAAGAAACTAATCCTATTCATTATCATTTTATTTTTTATTAATTGCTACTTACATGTATTCTAGGCTTCATCTTATAATTATAGCATAGTTTGTTTGTTTTTGTAAAAAAAGATCCTTCACAGTATAATTATAGATGGATTCACATTACTAACTTTTTCTTCCGCAAGTTGTATTATATCACTGTAAGCACCCAATATTTTTATGGGTCATTTTAAAACTACATTTAGCATATGGATTAGCCTACGTTTGGGAAGTCTAACTGTCCCACACAACCAGTATGTGTTTTTAACAACTGTTGAATAAAATTCTTGCAAAAACTATGCAGTCCCATTGCTATGCTACATTGAAAATAACTGCATAATGCATAAATATTGTATAGATATAGATATATAGATATAGAGACAGTGAGAGCACAAACATTTTACTTAACATAGCTGAGTAAGTCTATAGCTAACAGACAATAAAAATCATTTTAAAACTTGATTTAATTTTTTAAACTTGAAAAGGATTGTGTGCTGTCCAATAGTTATGACAATTGGAATTAAAACAGTACTGTACAATATAACAAAATAGAAAGCTACTAACAGAATTTCTATTGACTTTAGTCAACTGGAGCTTGTATTGCTTGGGACATAAGAACTCAAAGTATAACGTGAATGAATTATTAAAATAAAATAAAAAGTACTTGGTCATCTTTCAAAACCACTTTTCTACACCAGGACACCCTAATATACTGAATTATAATTTCAGTTAAACTGATTTGAGGGATTCAAGTGTCCATAATACCCCAAATGAGATGAAAAAAAAATCATATGAAAATATCAGTAAAACACAGAAAAACATTATTATGGCATAATTACAAGAATTCAATTTTTAGGCACAAGAAAAAAAAGAGTTCTTTCTAGCCAAATTTAAATAGTAACTTTTTCAGAACAAAAAATGAATCACAGTCCCAATTGGTCTAAAAATTTCCATAGGATTCCCATTTCCTTCAAAATACCAGTAGTTCTGATATTATCTCCTGGTATAAAATAAAGAACAACTCTAAAATACTACCAAAGTCTTGTAAGCAAAGTGATAGCATTAATCAAATTAATGTCAGCTGACTGTTGCATATTGACGTAAAATGAAGGCTAGTATATAAGGATTAATCATTAATTCTTTTAGTTTTTCCTTTTCCATTTTTTAAATATTGAAATAGCAGCTGCTAACCTTGTCAGAAACAGAATTATATTATAATCAACAAGTAAACTGCTGATCCTTCCAAATAACATGGAAAATTCCATAAAATAAATGCCATTACAATGTGAAATTCAACAGAGTGATATATGTGACACAACCTATCAATAAAATAAATATTTCTACCATCTATTTAGAGGTATATCTGTCAAGTGTTAAGTTAGCAAATGTGTTTGTTCTGTAAGTATTTAATTCATGATAGCCGGCTGGAGTAGGATAAACATTTTAGAATAAATGTATCCATATTTGGCCAGAAGAGTGATACCATTTTTACCGAGTCCCTTGGGAATACAGTTTTGTTATTACAGTATCAACCCTTGACAAATGTAAGATAAAAAAAGAAACTGGACATAGTGTCAGGCAAATATTTTTGATGGCTAATAGACTATTGCCCTTAATCTCCAAATGAGGGCCGAAAATAATGTAGAGAAAAGCAGGGACTGTGAAGCACATTTATTATGCAAACCATTCCAGCAAAAATCATGGTTCAAACTGAACGCAACCCACCAACTATGTTTTTTGGATTGTCAGGTGCTTGACAGCTTTTTTGTTTTTGTGGGCATCAAACGGAGAAGGCTTAATGAGTCCTCTGAGTCATCACCATACATGGTTGGTGGACTGAACTCAGCTCAGTGAGTCACAAATCACAACCGATGTGTCAAACATCTACTGTATCTCAAGACTGCTTTCCTATGCAGGTTATTTTACACAACAGAACATCTTAGGACATTTAACCGCAGGGCTAAAATTGTTCACAAATTCTGTGTACAGTTGTAGCTATCCAACTTATATACACCATGAAGGCACTAAAATATATTTACCGCAATCTGCATTTAGAATACTATTATACATGTTTTGTTTCTTATTAAGACTTTGTTTCACTATACAATGTGTTGCATTGTCACCTTGAAATAATCTACACTTGCTGATTAAACCACTGTATGCTGTAATTCTAACTTCACTTTCCTACTTTCCCTAGCTCCACAAAGATTCTTAAAACTTCTCAAACCGAAGATATTAAGCACTCTCCCTGAAAGTCTCTGCTTCTTAGAAACCCATTCTTTCTTAAATTTCTGCTTTCCTGTTGCCATGGAGAAGGTCCAGTACATAACTCGCTCTGCTCTGAGGAGAGCCTCAACTATTGAGGTGCATCCACAAACACGGCAAAGGCTTCAGGAGCTTTTTGTAAACTTCTGTCTTATCTTGATATGTCTGTTGCTAATATGCATCATTGTGATGCTTCTTTGAAGTCCAGTATTTTTGGTTGATCTATCTTATGCAATGGGAAATGCACGAGAAGGAGAAAAGAACCAAACAAGAAACATCCAACCCAAGGAAATCTATGCAAGAAAGTCCAGCACTCGGTCTAAAAAGTTTCTCACCACCTCCACTCTTACTCACTGTAACCATTAAAAGCACCTGTACTGAACAGTGATTTGAAAACTACTATCACAAGGCGATGCATGAGCTAATTCACCTGCTTCATTTTTAAAGGAAGACTTCTGTGGATGTTGATGATTAGTGTTATGTGTAAAATGTCCAACTATAAAATTTTAAATAGCAGCCTTGAAATTTTGGTTCCAGATTATTTGTTTGTTATTACTAATCAGCTATAAGTGCTTATTTTCATGAATAAAGAATGGGCTGAATGCACTATTAAATGCACAATTAAATCCTTATATATTCTAGGAGTACTTGGATTGTTAACTGAAGCATTTATTAACTTCTTTCCCCCTACATATTCATAATATAAACTTTGAAAAGACAATAAAGCATTGCATATTTATTGCCTCGTTCTATTGAAATACAACTATATATACTTTTGAAATGGTATATCATAGGGCAACAATTTTTGAATCAATATACCTGAAATGCGATAACTTAAAGAATACATCCAAAATCTTTACTCCTTGGAATTGAAATTTTGCAAGATAACGATGAGCATTTCCAATGCTTGCAAGTCTTCCTCCTGGCCAGCAGGAAGCCAGGGGTTGATCCTGCTCCAAACTGCTTGTTTGCCTGGCTTTTTTTCTGATTAGTTAAGCAAATATCTCAAAAATGATCTCATGGATTGTCTAATTTGATGTATTTATAAATATTGAATATATTCTCTCCTGTAACACTACTGATATCTTCCAGGTAACTCATTATACAGTTGCTCTTCATTCATATAATTTAGCAAGAGGACTAGATGGTGAATTCTTGCAAGTTTAATCTTTTCATGTTTTTGTTCTGTGAAGAATCAGTCATAGTCAAAATAAATAAATAAATCTGTACAACAGCTTTTTATTGTTTGCATTAGAGGTTCAATCTGTCATTAGACTGCATAAAATAAATAGCATGTTTTTTAGCACAGCTTAAAAAAAGTGAATATTTGAATCTGATTTCAATTTTTCCCCAAATATGACATTAAGTGGACTACAGATAAAAATATTTTGGTTGTGTGAAACATCTTTTATAGAATGGTTCTTCTTATCACTTCTATGAAGTTTATAGGCTGTTGCTTTAACTATACATGTATGTGTATTTAATATCACTATACCTAAAGTAGTAAGAAACAAATGTTGAATGATTGATTACAATCTTAGAATAATTCCACTCACTGAGAATGTACTCTTCATAACATAATTGTTACATATGAATTTATTTTCCCTACCGAGAAACAACCAGCTCTAAAATTTCCAAAAATAAAATGAAAGCTAACTGTTTAACAAGGTATTATATTTTATTTTAATTCTCACTGCTTAATACACGAAAATGAGTTCAGTCATTTTTGTACAACACTATAGAGTATCTGACCATAAATAAAGTATGCCAAAATTAAATCTAAAAATCATTGTTTTCACATCATTATTGCCTATTTCAGGACCTTCTTTCACTTTCCCAATTTTGGATTCTGCAATGTTGAACAAAACTCCATTTAATATAAAAGAACAATTACATAAAAAACAATATCAACTATCAGATATCAATACTGGTTTCAAGTGGTTTCTGGAAGTTGGTAAGTATCTACATAGGAAATCTGCTGGAGGCAGCATTTCCAAGGGAGACAAGGAAGTGTGAGATTGACATCGTGTTGTGGTATTGCTCACATGCCCCCCCCAAAAGGCAGCATTTGTGTACAATTTCATTCTAATCATTCTAATAAAAACTGCTTGTGTCCATAAGGTTACCTGAAATTCTAAGATTAATTGTAAAAACAGATTAGTAATGTAAAAACCAAATTCATTTTATTCCCAACTGTTTCAGTTTTAAGACTTAATTTCAAACTTTTGCTTTCCTTTCCATTTATTCAGTTACAATATTTTGTTCTTGCATCTGAGTAGCAAAAATTTGAAAATGAATAGCCAGATAATTAACTAGTAAACTCTCCTTACTTTTCGATGAATAATTTTTATTAAAAGAAATTTTTATGAAGATTTTAAAAAACTACAGAAAGACAGAAGAAAAAATAGAGATTATAAAAGTCAAAAAATGAATCACAAAAAAGAAAAACATATGTAAAGAAATAGCTTCTAATTTCTTTTCAGCAGAAATAAACATAGCATTGCCATCCTTACATACTGCATACCAGAGTTCCATTCTTCCCTTAAATAGTTCTTATGCCTCAGATATCTAATGGTCCATCTCACTCTTCAGCCTGGAGCTTGAAGAAAGATAAGATTTGACTCACTGACTCTTTATTCAAATTTAGTTTAAATATGAAGGGTAATAAAAAGACAAAGGATTCCCTACTCTGCTGGTCATTGCTGACTAGGTAGTAGTAATATCAGCCCCTTAATGGCCTCCAGATCAGAGAAGACAGGTGAGACGGTATGGAAAAGAACATGGGTAGCTGATTATAATCAAAAATGTGCTTTGAAGAGTAATCTTTAATCATATAAACTAGCTTTTTATATTAAATTCTTTTATAAACAATGTTAACAACATTTAGAACAAAAGTAGATAATTAACAAAGCTGCTATATCTTGAAGCAGATAATCAATAATACAATTTATTAAACTGTGACATACCGTATTTTTCGGAATATAAGTCCCACCTTTTTCCCTCAAAAAAGAGGGTGAAAATCTGGGTGCGTCTCATACACTGAATACAGCATTTTTTTGCCTCCTAAAACCCCGCTCCCTTTGCAAAAATGGCCCAGCTTATGAGGCTTCCAGAGTGCTCCGGGGGCTAGGGAGGGCAAAAATGAGGGGAAGCAAGCCATTTTTTGCTCAATTTTGCTCCTCCCCCAGAAGTACTCTATAAGCCTTCTAAAGGCTATGCATGCCATTTTTTGACAAAAAAAATTGGACCCGTTTTTGCGAAAAATGGGCCATTTTTGGGAGGTCTGCAGAGTGCAAAAACTCTTTTGAAAAAATTTGCCTTTTCAAAATCTGGGTGCGTCTTATACTCCAGTGCATGTTATACTCCAAAAAATACAGTATTTTGGATTGGGAGGTTTTATCCTACTCGACATGAAAAAATAATGGCAATATATAATTTGGGGTTAATTATTGCCTGTTAGATGACTGCCTATATTTTCTTTCAAGATGAGTTTGAGGAAGAGGCATTGGTTATGTACTCACATTAGCTGTGGCTCTCTATCATTTTTTTTCAGGTATTGGACAAAAAAAGCTCTTATGAGTCAAGAAATGCTCACACAAGAGTACTGCAGCCCACACATATGTCAACTGTAACTCACTGTGACTGAACTGAACCTGCTTATAACAGCAATCAAGATTTCTAGTGCAAGTAAAATAAGTGCAGAGTTTGCCACAATGGATTTTGCTGCAAATAGAGGTCTCAACCTGTTACTCAATTTTCTACTTATTTTTTTGGTTCTTGTTCTTATGTTTATTCTTGTAAAGCTCATGTGAGGCTTTTTTTTTAAAGTCTTCATTTATGCCATCATGATAACTTGAATCTTCAAACTATATGAATATAAAGAACAAAATTAACAAGATAAAAAAAGCTTAACCCTGCAGATCAGGGAAGCTTCCACTGAAATTAAAAAAATATTATTTTTACAATGGAACAGATCAGATAAACAGCGCAATCGGAAACCTAAAGTAGAAATAAGGAAAAACAAACATGAAATTCTCTACAGGAAGAAAATAATGGATATGAACATGAAATCACCTGTAACTTTTATATTGGAAATAAGGGAAATAGCCATTTAGAGGAAGTAGAAAAACTACATGAAGACAAATACTTATTCAGAGTAAATTTCTACATATTTGATGATGATACCTATACATGAGAATAAAAATGAGCATAATGAGACTTCGTTATGAACAACTGTGCATAAGATTATATTGCTTATTATTGTTAATATTACAACAGGGCATTTATATTCTATTATAAAGTGCTATAATAGAGTATTATTGTAATAACATTTTTAGCAAACCATCTTTCCACTAAAAACATATTAACCTTTCCATACTTTATGTAAATTACTTCTAAGCCTGCTTGTTTCTATTGAGAGTTTTATTTGGGAGAATCTGCCTCTCAAATTCACTGTTAGAAAGTTTCAGACTAAGTCATATTCAATTACTCTCTCCCTATGCCTTTCATGCCAGATGAGAGGAATCTGAAAGACAATTAGAAAATATGACTTTAAGATTTTTTTTTATGTATTGATTTTTATTGTGATGATATTGCAAGTTATAACTTCAAGCAGACTTCAGAAACTAAGAAGCAAAATATTTCCATTTGCCACTTTTTCTCTTCTTATCTTTATTTCACACAGAAATGAAACACCCAGTGAAATTATACTCTAGATGTGATTGTAATTTCCAATGTCCTCTGCCAGCTTCCCACAATCAAAGTAAATAGGAAACCCACAGGAACTTGGAAGTCACAATTACCATGGCTTAACAAACCCATGCAGTCCTCACTTAATGACAGCATCTGGGACTGCTGGAACTATCATCACTAAGTGACATGGTCTTGTGACATCACACTATACAACTGCATTGTTAAGCGATGGCAACCCAATTGTTGTTGTAACCCAAGGATTATTTGTATTGTGGGTTGCATGTGTGTGTGTGTGCTGATCTTAGGACAAGAGTCACTTTCAAAAACTTGAGAATGCCGGCAATATAATAAGTGTTATAAGATGAACTAAGTTTGATAACATATCTTCAGAAAACAGATACAATTTTTTTAACTTTTCAAAAATACAAGTAATTATAACAAAAAATTTTGATAATCTAGAAATAGATTTATTTTAGCAGATTATACCTCTTTTTTCTCAACTTTACTTAGCCACTATCCTTGGCTTCTGGAGTCTGGAATTTGCCATTGAAAACACAAATATCTTGTTATATTGGGGAGAGGGGGCACTTACTTAAATAAGACCTGGAATACAATAAAATTTGACATTTTGAGGAATTTCAAGAACCACCAAGCTCAGGGCTTCCCAAAGTGCTGCATCTTGTTGAGATTTGGTTGCTTGGCAACATGCATTTATGACAGTTGGATTGTCCTAGGATCATGTGATCACCATTTGCAATGTTCCCAGCCAGCTTCTGACCAGCAAAGTCAAAGGAGAAAGTCAGATTCGCATAATGACCACATGATTCATTTAACAACTGCAGTGATTCACTTAACAACCACCACAAAAGGTCATAAATGGGGTGTGACTCACTTAACAACTACCTTGCTTAGCAATGAAAATGTTGAGCTCAATTGTAGTCACAAGTCAAAGTCTACTTGCATGAAAATGTTAGTACGAATACTTCAACAAATGCACTGGGTTACTGATTCCGTGTTTTCCCAAAAATAAGACAGGGTCCCCACGAAACATGGCCTTGGGCTTATTATAGGGGAAGGGCTTATTGTTTTGGGGCTGCCGGACAGAGAGTCTTCCAGCAGCCAACCCACAACCATAGAGTGCACTCCTAGAGCAGCTGCTGCTGGAAGTCTCGGAAGCCAAGTTTTGGAGTTTGGAAGCCAGAGAAGTTATGCTCGGAGCGCGGCGGTGGTGGCGGCGCCTGCAGAGAGAGCTGGATCAGGGCATGGTGTGGCTGGGAGGCATGCTTGCTGAAGGTGGAACAGGTGCTCGCAAAAACCCCCTCTCCAGCCGGGCAGAGCTGCATGCACTGACCTAGGGGGTATCCCTAATGTGGCAAGTCGCAGGAGCTGGGGGGGGCAGATCACCACGTGGCTTGGTGCCTCAGGGATACCCCCTAGTTCAGTGAATGGCACTCTGCCTGGCTGGAGAGGGGGTTTGCCAGGCGGTTGCTCATGAACGTGGTCACCTCATGGCTGCTTCGCCCGAGGCTGTGCCCAGCTCTTCGGGAGCCCGCTCGCAAGGGAGCAGCCGCCCGGCAACTCCCCCCTCCAGCCAGGCAGAATGCCATTCCCCAACCTAGTGGTATCCCAAAGGCGCCAAGCAACATGAGTGACTTCCCCCCAGCTCCCACAGCTTGGCGCCTTTGGGATACCGCTAGGTCAGTGAGCGGTGCTCTGCCTGGCCAGGGGGGTTGTTTTGGGGGGTGGGCTTATATTTTTGCCCACATGAAAAATGTGGCAAGGCATTAGTTTCAGGACACGTCGTATTTTCGGGGAAACATGGTACATTATCATGTCATTTATTTTAATGTATCAACAGTGTCACTTTTGCTGAATAATGAAAAAGATAACATGTTCCATCTCTACAAAAATGTATGACAATATTAATTTCCTCACTGAACTCAGCAGCAACAATATCACAAGGGTGAAAAAAGCCCAAACAGGAAGAAAACTCAAATTAGATTATGACTTCATCTATTTCTCAGCATAAAATTATTTTCACAACACACAATAAAACATAGGCATATAAGCGAATCTTCACCATTATAGGATTTGTAAAGTTATTGAAGGAAACATTTTTTATTAAAGCATTCTAAATGATAGAAATCCAAACTTTTCCCTATTTTTTCATTTAAATATATGATATTATTAACAGCTAGCAAAAGATCAAGATCATATTAGAATTATGACACTAAGGTAAAATAGGTGTGTGTATCTATAATTGTTGTTACAATTATTATTTTCATATCATTGTTCTGTGTCACACTGGGAATGTTAAATGAAACTGTTACATAATTATTGTTCCTAACTATGACATATCTGAAAAATTTGTGATGTGGTCAAATATTATAGTCATAAGGCTAAGAAAAAACAAAGACTTTACTTTTAATCTTGCTTCTACTCTAAACTCAATAAAAGACTTTACCTAAAACATTACTTCTTCCCTTTAGCCTTCGCACTCTACCATACGGAGAAAGAAACCTGGCTTACCTTATAAGGTTCTACTAATTATTAAATACTGTGTTCTATGCCAAGTAAATAAATCTTGACAGTTTATAAATGCTGGCTACCTAATTTTTTTTAGATCATGTACATGGTACATAAATCTAGGTACTTCTTTCTTACTGGTAGAGCAGAGACACTGCCAAGGCTCCATAGTGGTGTCTCTTCTCTCTCTCCTTTATAGCAGGGGTATCAAACTCGTGGTGTCACGTTGACGTCACATGAACGTTTCGTGATTTTTTTTTCCCTTCACGGAGCTGGGACGGGCGTGGCCTGCACGTGATGCACCTGGCCCATGGGCCGCCAGTTTGACACCCCTGCTTTATAGCTTCTGCTACAATATAGAAAGAGCAGCTTCTAATTTCTCCCTACAGGAACCACAGAAGTTCAATGCACAATTGATGCTAACCATGATGTTAATATTTACTGCCTCAGTGAATCCTATTATCACCCTGAAGTGTTTTGGCCGACTGGAATGAAGTGAATCAAGGACTTAAGTTTAAGAAGCACTCTATTTTACAGATATTTTGTTTTTCAATTTACCTGAACTGCAAAGGAACATGGATTCTTTTTGAATTACCCAGAGCTCTGCATCGAATTATGTGGATGTCATCTTATCCATCAGCATCTTGATATATTAGGTGTAATATGCAACCACGAGTTGACTGAGGTGCGCTTGTCTGATGTCTATCCACAAAATGTCAGTGTTTGCAATTTACAAGTTAAGCTAAATATATAGGTAAGTGGGAAAAGATGGGTGTGCTTCTCTGTAACCGGTCACCTGAAACATTCACATTATGCAAACCCAGTAAAACCCCTAAGAATCTTTTTTAGAATTGAGAAGCATTTAAACTGTAACAATAAGCAAACTAAACAAAGAATCACCTATGTTTGTTTAAATAAATAAATAGGATTTGGTATGCTCATTTGGTGTCATTCCCTCTAAGCTGTAAGAAGCAGGCAATGGGAAATCACTTCTGAAAAACTTTGGCTATAAAACTACAAGGACTAGATCAGTTGCAAGGAATAAATGCTGACATGAAGGTATCAAGAAAAAAAAGCTGCAAATATGCTTCCTGATCTTTGCACATGCCCCTCTGATATTTCTGGAAGCAGCCCATCATCTTCCAGGGATCTGTATAACCCTGAAAAAGCACGCTGCTGTCTTAAGGAGTGTTTACAAACTTTGGCATTTCCCCTCTTTCTTTGTACGGCCATATATGGACATCAGATAAAAAGTGATCTGTAATGGTAATGTACGAACTTTCTGCTTTAATATGTTGGTTCTAAAGTAAAAGCAGTCCAGCTGCTTAAGTTTCTGCAACTTTATTCCATTTCTTTTCAAATAAATCTTGTTAAAGGAAATGCTAGAGAATCCTGCTCTGGGCTGAAGTGGGCTGCCAAGAGCTTAATATGATTATATTTGTATGACATCTTACACAAGTATGTAAGTTGCAGCATTTACGTGATAATAGTACCATGCATGTGTTATCACTGCCTCTCCATGGATGCCTGCCAAAGCTACATATTCATTTTTAATCTTCCTTCCAATATTTGCATGGGGAGATGAATTAAGTGAAATATGTTAGCACCATTTTATAACAACTGCTATCTCAACTGATTTCAATGAAAACATTTATAATAAAACAGAACAGCAGATACAAGCTTATTCATTGAACAGAATGATGCCTGGTATTATTTTTCTCATAAACCACTTGGTGGCAGCAAACACTGAAATTTTATTCTTACCTGAAGAGTGTGTTCACTTCCTGTTCTAAGCTCTTCAAGTTGCTGTAACTGCCAAGGAGTTAAGCTGTATGACTCCTCAGAAGGCCTGGATTCTGGAGGATTTGTACGAAATTGTTCTGTAAGCCACCTCTGAGTCCTTTCAGAAGATTGAATGGAAACCTGGGATGGGACTGCAGCTTGTGGTTCCAAAGTTATATATTCTTGATGAAAAGCTTCAGAGTTTAATGGAGCAGGCTTGCTTTCAGGTAAGGCACTATAGGTCATATCTAAGGCATGTCTCCTGTTTGAGACATCAGGAACCCCCCAATCTTCTTTGCTGCAACTTTCAAATTTGTATTTGCAGTTCAAAGTAGAATTCTTTTTCTTCTCATTTTCTCTGTCCTCAGACTTTAATAGTTCCATACTCCTGTACAAGCAATTTGACCCATTTGTTCTTAATTGTGGTGAAGCAGTCTTGTCTCTTCCATTTATATCCAAGTTGGTCCTGCATTCTGCTGAATAAACATTCCCATCCTGGTTACAACTAAGAGGTGTGCTGAGTTTAGACAACGATGACCACTTCCTTACAGGCCTCAAATCTTTCATATCAAGAGAGCTGTCCAACATGCCCTGATGCCTGCTTTGAGCAGATCTCAAAAGGTTTGTGCTCCACTTTGCAGAGTTAGACTTGAGAGGATCCCTATGTTTTGAAAGTGAAGTGTTGATATGAGATGGCATTACATGGGCAGTGGGAATTGAGACCAACGAGCGGCTGGGCTTAAACGAGGAAGTACCACTTGATGTGGAATGATCTGGGAAGAAAGATGTTCATCATGTGAGTTCTTGTGAAATAGCCAGTCTTAACGGGAATAACACAAACAAATAGGTTTAAATTATTTAAAATATACATTTAATATATCCATGAACATAGATAGATGTAGTGGCAAGAGAGGTTGCATTGTATCATGGCACAAATGACTCAGATGATCTATTAATGTACTTTTGCATCATACAACAACATTATGCAGGTGTTTTATTCAAGTCATTTGCATCATGGAATATAAGTCTGACATCACTATTAAAGACTATATGTTTAAGACTGTTTTTTCTACAAAGATGCATATGGACACTTGGCAATAACTGCTATTAATTTTACCTTACCACTAGCAAACAACCATGCTGAAATACACTGTTGTCTCTGAATGGGGTCCTCCTACAGAGAGTTATACAGTATTAATCAAATGTTTACCAAAAAAGTTTCTTTCTCTTCCAACAAGCCAGTCTCAGACTAGGATTTTGTAATTAACAAATAATTTGGCTTGCTAAGGAAATAACTGGAGGGGGGGAGACACAGGGGGAGGTGGGGAGAGAGAGAGGGGGGAGATAGGGGGAGAGGGAGAGGGGCAGAAAAAGAGAGGGGGGGAGAGAGGAGAGAGAGCAGTAGGTTTTTAATAATAATACCTGGCTGCAGTTCTCTGATTCTTTTTGCATAAAAAGATCTGATCAGAAGCAAATAGATTCTGTATATGGTTCATTTTAGACTATGAGAACTTTTATTGAATTAATCCTTTTACTTCCTGTTATTCAATTTTTGGACAATGATTAGGTTTTTCTCTTTAAAAAGAAGTATGACTTACTGCACACAATCTACATCATTATAAAGTATATTCATACTTAATTCCTTATAAGATATTAATTTATTTTAGCAGGTCTTACAGGTGACATATATAAAAGAAGGAGGCCTAACAGAATTTGTAGCAGAGAAGTCAAAAAGAAAAAAAAATTATACACCAAACTACGGAGATTAGTTACATGCCAGGAAACAGAAATTACATGAAATTTTTTGTTGGTTGGTTGGTTGATGAAATTCGATAATGAGAAAGTAGAAAACTTTAAAAGAACACTGTTGCTTTTTAGTAATAACTTCAATTTGAGATATATTCTAAAAAATAATTTTAAGGAACTAAAATAGGAAGAAGTTGCACTTGATAAGTAGAACCTAAACATTAGGTGACATGTAAGTGCTATTTTTCCTGTTTATATTCAAAAATTAAAGGCTAATATCATTATAAGAAATGTTCAAATACACAGACAATATAGATACGCAATAAGTTGGAGCCAAAAAGGTAAGCATGATTCCAATGTTTGGTATGTTCCCTTTGTTGCAACAATCCCTACAACAGGGTTCCCGAAACTTGGCAACTTTAATACTTGTGGACTTCAACTCCCAGAATTCTCCAGCCAGCTGGTCCACGAGTCTTAAAGATGCCAAGTTTGAAGACCTCTGCCCTACAACATTGCATGAATCTCCCCAATTCTCAGAAAGAGGCCTCAAGGGGGCCTCTATGGGGAAGAGGCGGCTGCAGAAAGGAGGGTGTGAAAAGATTCTATTGTGCTCATAAAAGCAGGAGGCCAAATCAAAGGCTATACCTGGAAAAACCCAGAATGTGAGAATGGTATGGCAACTGTCTCAGTCCTCTCATTCTGGCTCCATTCTCAATCTGAAATATCAGAAGGCTTACAGAAAATCCCAATGTGCCAATGTTCCTAGACAAATAAGCAAGTTAAAATTAACATAGGTGAGGCAGAGGCAGCTCTCCCATGCCAAGCAACTGCTGCTTTGCATCAAAGTCTGCAGAGATGCAAAAATAAACAGTTAATCCTGGCATTAGAACATCCTAAATTACACAGCTCAACCTCCCCCCACGCCGCTGCTCACGTTGCTGTGACATAGGAGGCTTGTTAAAAGTTGTCCCATTTTTATTCTTATTATCACATTTCTGGTGTTCTGAAATGGAGAAACAAGTGAAACTTTCTTTCTGTTACTGCAATTTCTCTAGAATATTGAACTCTCTGGGTAAAGAATCAGCCACATAAATCCTTGGAAATCACAGAGACATGATAGATAGGGATTCCCAAAGATCAGGCTTGAATTTCATTACATATGACACCTCTCATATTGTATTTCATGAATATATCTGTTAACCCAATGTCGCCAAAGACATCGTTAATTATAAAATATTTGAACTAATTCTAGTACCGTATATTTAAATGTTACACCAAGTATACTTCTGAAGCACCGGACTATAAACAATATGTTCTTGACATGGTGTGGTACCATGAGGCTGGCAACAATGAAAATTTACTCATGTGTGGACATATAATCTTTCCTCTACACTAAGATCCTTTTTTTTTGGTCCTTAGGGGCCTGAGACCAGAGGTGAAATTCCATTTTTTTTACTATCAATTCTGTGGCTTGGTGGGTGTGGCGTGGCTTAGTGGGCATGGCGTGGCTTGGTGGGCGTGGTTTGGTGCACGTGGCAGGGGAAGGATGCTGCAAAATCTCCATTTCCACCCCACTCCAGGGGAAGGATATGGCAAAATCTCTATTCCCACCCCTCTGGGACAGCCAGAGGTGGCATTTGCCGGTTTTCCAAACTATTCAAAATTTCCGCTACCGTTTCTCTGAACTACTCAAAATTTCTGCTGCCAGTTCTCTAGAACCTGTCGGAACCTGCTGGATTTCACCCCTGCTTGAAATCCCTGATTTGAACTGATGATGTTGTTTGTTCTCAAGGTATGAAAATGAAGTGCAACAGTTTTCTCTTAAACAGCATACAAAAAGTTCAAAGAGTTTGAATCATTCCAAAAGACCGGCTCTTGGGCTCACCTTCTTTCAAGCCTGAAAGATATTTAAGCCAAATAACCAAATAACTACTGAAATTCAGAACAGGTCCTAACCCTGGCAAGATGTAATGAGTTTCCAACAATTCTTTTGAGGGGAACTTACCAAGTACGGGTAGCTCACACTTGATGGTTAAGAACTTCAACTGCTAAGTGATAGGGCTGTAAAGGGCCAAATTATGTTACTACCCACTTAGCAATGGCCATTCCGGCAATCCCTGGTTACTGTTGTTAAGCAATTCACTGTGGGTCATTAAGCAAGGACCTCAAGTGACTGTGACTTCCTGCCAGCTTCTCTGTTTACTTTGTTGGAGTCTGGAAAGGAAGGTCACAAATTATGATCAGAGAGGCCTTGTGAAGGGTCAGCAACTAGCCTCAACTGGGTAGGCTTCTTCAGCAATGGATGGTGGAAGAAGATGGCAATAGGCAGCTGGGGCCAGTGGGGAACAGTAGAGGTAGGGAGTAGCAGAGTGTTGGATGGCCAAAGGGGAAGAGTTGGGGAGGGAATAGGTGGGTAGTGGAATTTGAAGCATACTTGGCATTTATAAAGGTAGGCAGGTTCCAATCACTCAGATTTTCATCACGTGACTGTGGAGACACTGCAATGCCTGTAATTTGGGGGATCCATCATAACTACTACTTCATTAGCGTTGTTGTAACTCTGAATGGTCGCTGAACAAATTATTGTTAAGTAAGGATTATATTTAATTTTAAATACCAGTTACTAGAAGAAGAGCAATTATTTAATATTTTCCTTATTTTGAATAATGTTAGAAACATTTTTCCCATCCCAGCTGCATTACAGAGAACAGAAGATTAAGTGACCAATATATGAATATTTAATCAGATATAAATTCATTGGGGCCTATACTCAGGTAACTGTGGAATGGGATTAAATGGAAATAAACCTGTGAAGTCTCAGGAAATGGTAGAATATCGCATGAGTTTGTCTGAACTTGGCAGGAGATTATCAAGGAATACTAGAGTTGTAGGCTACGTATAGAAGACAACAAAAATATCTTGACAGTGACAGACTATTTCTACCATGCAGAAAACTATATAGACTTGTGATGCAACTAGGAATCCAGCTCAAGGTTTTTACCAATGCTTAATAGCAACCACATTCAGTTTCCTGTGGATATTGTTAGAGGAAAAGTCACGGTAGATTCGCTCTGAATACAAACTAACTGCCACCCCACCTTCTGCCTTCAACTGTGTTTCTTCTTCAACTGTGATTCAATGAAAAGGCAGCTTGCACTCTGATGGGTTCTGCACAGTATTCAGCTCTTCCTAAGTCCCATGTTTTGAAGTCTCTATTGATGGCTGGTTCCACCAATTAAATAGAGTGAAAAGCAGGAGTTAATCTAATTAAACAGATATAATACAGTTTTCTACTGTATTACCAGGAGTCGTGATAACTGCTGGAACAGATATAATTTTATCAAATCATTTGCACTGTTTGGATGTTCAGTTGCCATTTTTATTATCCACAATGAATGAGTATAAAGGCTGTTTTCACCATCAACAACACTGAAGAAAAGGTGCCAAAAGTACTATTTCTATTCAGGGAGTTGTGTATCAACAACATGACTTAATGACACATCTGTGGTTTTCTTTTTACTTAAAATAAATATTTAGTTACAAAATTTCATTTCACTATACAGTAATCGCTTAGAAGTAAAGAAAGCAAATGATTAAATTCCTGAAAGGAATGCCACTACAATGTTTAAAGTGTTACAGATTTTTCTTCTCGATGAGGCTACCAAGGCAACGTGGTCTGTGTGTGTGTGTGTGTGTGTGTGTGTGTGTGTGTTACAAAACAAGTTATTCAAGTCAATCCTTTCTTCTTCTTTCATATGATTTCAAAAGCATAGTATTGTATTTTTCTAACCACCAGACAAATTCAATATCTTAATGTTCTATTTTAGAGCTATACTGAAAAAATGTAAGTAGGTCTCTATTTTTCACTGAACAAGCCAACAATAGGCTCAACTGCATTAAGATGTAACTGCTCTGTTGTGTTCCTGGCTAAAAAAGAGAGACTAACACAACAGAAGTTGCCATAGTACTACAAATACAAAGCCAAGATACACTGTTTGCTAGCAATCGGTCAAACTGCCTATTTGCA